CAGGTGGGGGCGGGGCCACCAGCACCAGGGTCGCCCCGAAGCCACCTGCTTTTGAAGGTGCCCATCTGTTTAGGTGAAACCCTTGCGGGTTGTCTGTCTCGCTTGTACAGGTGGGAACGGGCCACTAGAGGGCGCCGTCCGGGCGTTTTCTGTGCGCTTCTCCCAAAGGAGTGTTTCTGCTGCAGGTGTGCGCACAGTCGCTCTTTGAAATGACTTAATGGCTTAATTCTCTTACTTCCTCGGCAGAGCACACTCTGGGCTTCCCTGGTGCAGCGGGACATTGCCGATCAGATTAATTAATACCAGCTCGCACACAGGGGCCGCGGGACTCGCTGCTCTGGGTTTGTTCTTTCCGCCGCTGCAGCTTCTGCGAGCTGTTTCCTCTCCGCTGCACAGGTTCTCCCAGCGCCTTGGCCCCGGGGGCTGGCCCTGCTGGGAGTGATCCGATGGTCACCTCGCCGCGGTGGGCCACACCCCACAGCTGGCACCAGGGGAGCCCTGGGTGTCGCTTTCTGGATAATTCTGAGTTTCCGTTGGGTCTCACTCTCCGCCCCCCACCCTCTGCTTCCTTTAGACTCTTTGTCACTTATCACTGATTAATGACAGATTAATGGCCTGCAACTGATATCGATTTCACGTACTCAACACCAGCACCATCGATGGATAGAAATAGGACAAAGGCACCATCCCCCAAATCAAGGGAGCAGGACGCCCAGGCCAAAGGACTCGCCATAGGATTGGCCTGAAGGGGCCAGGGTGGAGTGCTTGCTGGCATTGAGTTAAGGGGTGCCAGGGGGGGCCAAGAAAATGGGAGGCAAAACAGGATGGCCCTTTGGGGGTCGGGGAGGCTGGCTCTGGGGGTATGGGTCCAGCTGCCCATCAGAGGATGGGGGTTATGGGACGTGTGCCCCAGAGACCTGGAAGAATCCACACGAAATGTTGGCGGCCCTCACGGGCCCTGGGGAAGCCGCGCTCTCGCATCCGCCCAGGTGGGCACGATGCCTGACAGGGCCTGCTGGGCCTGCTGGGCCACTGGCGCCTCTGGCCGCACCCACATTTTAATTTCCCCGGACTCCCGTGCACAGCACGCTTGAGCCTCCCGCAGGCTGCGTGCGTCCTCCCGGCCACCTGCCCCTGGCTGGCGCGGGCCGGCTCAGTGCTGCGGCCCGGGAGGCACCCTGTCGGGTTCGGCATTGGTGTGGGTCAGGCTGTTGCTGGTGCCGCCCGGCTGCCCTCCTGCTGCTCAGTGTAACGAGCGCCTGTTTAAAGGCCCAGTGACGTGTGAAGCTGGTCCTGGTGACGCCTGAGCAATGCACTCGGGTCTTCGCGACGAGCCCCCCCGGGGTGTGGGGCCGTGGGTGCAGCCGTGTCTGGGTGCGTCAGGGTTGCTGACCTGGTGACCGGTGTCTGTCGGTGGCCGATCCACGCCTCGACGCTGGCAGATAACAGGCTTTCAGGAGTGGCCGGTTCTGTTCCCCCCGGCCAAGCACATGTTTGTGGGGCCCCCTCAGTACATGGGGCCTCCTCTGGGGCTCGGGTGACGGGACTCGACCTCCACTTCTGGGTGTTTATAATCTGGCAGCGAGACCCCACATGGCCCCTGGGTCACAGCTCCGGAGGTCTGGTGGCCTGTGAGCTCACAGCCGGGCCTGCAGCCCCGTGCGGTTCGCTGGCCAACTTGATGGCCGTCACGCTGAGCCCTCCCGGTACCCAGCGCAGGTGCCGATGACGCAGGAGGGGAGGGGAGACCCACGTGTACTGCTTGGCTGAGTGCCTCTCCACGCACACCATCTTGTAAATTAGTTGTCATGACAACCTGGATCAGGTCTGCT